AACTTGCCTGATTGGCTAATAGCTGACCAATCAAATTTCGAATATGTTTCGATGTCCCCCGGTGTCCTCTCTCGAATGGCGAAAACCGCAGGTCTCTACGATGCTCCTATGAAAAGTTATTCAAAAAATAGTGGAGCACATTATATTTTGAAACGGATAATAGTTTACCTTTGGTCGATATTCATTGGTGCTTGTTGACAAAGAATTTGATAGGACTGAGAAACAGAATACATTTATGCAATAACTTCGAAGGTTTTAGATTTCGACATTTACACAAAAGAAAAGGCACAAAAAAAGAAAAGTAAAAGCTATTTGTACTTCTTTATGGTGCTTAAAGTAGTACGAACATTGTAAGACATAAAAGCCTTGCTATAATCTAAAAATAAATTATCAAGAGTAACAATAAATTTTGTCACAACCCAGGTCGAAAAGTACGGACCGGTTCCCAGAAGAAAACACTGGAAATAGACGGAACACGAAAGCAGTATTCCGGTCGGAAATTTTTCGGTCTTTTTTCCGATGAATTTCAGCCAATTTCAGTTCTTTCCTGCAGGATACGGCAATTTTCTCGCATCTTTCCTGCCGGTTCCTACAGTATCCGGTTACCGGAACGATCGACCTGGGAAGTGTAGACACAGTCATACAAAAGAAAAGAAAAGGTAATTTTCAATAAAATACATTCAAACAAAAAACTCGTTCACTTTATGGATTAAAAAAAATCACTAACAGTAGAAATAAACAATAAGCAAAACACAAATATGTATGTAAAATGTTGGTGAAATGAAAGTAGATAGTTATATGGTGGCAACTCATAATCATACTATTAAGTGTAAAAGATCTTTTCTGCTATTTAAAATGACTGATCACGTTATAGTGCTGAAATAATTACTACGATGAAATTAGAATACGACTAACATGATAAAAGCTCTGATATAATAACAAACTGTTTTAGAAAGATTTGTTTCCGTAGGATGAAAGAATATATATCTTAAAATTGAAGCTGTTGTTTATTTCAATAAATCACCGAAGCAAGTTATTTTAAAAGCTTAATTGAGAACTATCAGAAACATAGAAATTTATTTTACTCACTTAATGTGCGCCACTCGTATTCTTCACTCTTTCCTCTAATCCAAATCAACTGAGTAATCAGTCCAGACAATTTCCAAACAATTTCAGCATCTTCTGCAATGCTTTGATTGATAATCGAGTGAAACTGACTCTGAAGATTGATTCCCAACTTAGCTTCTGTTTCAGCTAAGATTTCTCCACTTAAATAGGCTAATTTAGTCGCTAGCTTATAAGCTATGAAGTCTTTCGTCAAGTTGTGCCTGAATTCAAGTTCACTATAAATTTTCTCCGATTTCGCTTTACCTTCTTGTAAATAGTCTTTGTCAACAAAAGCAACACATTTTTTATCACATTTATTTCTTCTATATTAAAACGACAGCCTCCGTCGAATAATCGAATGATAGTGATAATATTATTAGTTTCTTTTTCTGTTAATGTCACAGCATTTATTGTGACAATGGTGGAACCATTCATATCATCTAAAGTGGTGGAGAAAAGTTTAAGGACACTTTTATTTTGTCATTTTCTCAGCAACCGCTCTAGCTAGACACAAAATTCTTTCACCAAATCAAAGAGAATACTTCAAAATACATTTCTCGTGCAAATCTCTTGAATCGACCGAAAGATGGCGGCACGGTAAAAAGAATGAAAATTTCTCAGCGGACAAAAGTTTAAGGACATTTCAGAAATTTGCATTTCCTAACCAGGAGATTTTGTTTAAACTGGTCGCAAGGCATACCATTCAATGCAGAATTGCCAGGTGCATCTTTTGATAAAATAATTTTTGTCCTAACTCAAAGTACTAATTAGCTAATTGCTAATTAGACTAATTAGCGATTTCATTCCAGAAATCAACTCAAAAGTGAACATAAAGCATATCGTTAGAAAGCCCGTGAAAACTGAACAATTTTATCTACTTTTCTTTTCAGTTCTGACTCATTTGGACAAGAAAATTCAACGAACTTCATTTTTGAATGAGTCATCATTTTTAATGCTGTAATTATTTTTAGATCAAAATCTCCTATATTCGGATTCTAAAGTAGCCTATCCTGTAGAGAATTAAATTTGCTACAAAACTATACCTTGCACAACTCTCTACCGTGCCTATGAAAGACGAACAAACGATTTTAATTTGCACTTTTTCGCTGAGGGTGTGGGAGAATGTGGGTATGACTGGGTGTGTGAGTGTGGCTGGCTGTGTGAGTGTAGGTTGGTGTGGGTGAAAAAACAACCCATACCTGTACCCTTCACATCCTGAACCACCATGATTATGTCCCGGATCATCATATGTATATGTTATGATCACCAGCACTTGCCAAGCGAAATGTCTCTGTATCATGTTGATGTTCCGAAAGCTCATCTTCTGTCAATAGATGCTTCGAGTTTTCACCAGTCTTGAAACTGGACTTTAGCAGTATCTTAATACCAAATGGAAAGCGGCCACGAAAGCAAGGCAAATTAAATGTTTTAACGTGATTTCCGACACCGTATAAGGTGCCAACGACGGAAAATAACTGGGAAAATGTTGCTCGAGAGATGTTTGAACCATCACATCGTAATCAGTTCGTTGGTATATGTATTCCTGCGAAAAGACTGACTGTTCCTATGGATAAGGCACATTGGGACATCCTTGGATTTGCATGCGATTCGTTGTTTAGAAGAATACATATCAAAGGTATCAGAACGTTATATTTCATTTTCTGCATTGTCAGCGTGTATTCTGCAATAAGTTGTATGGAACACTTTTTATATAGCTTTTACATTCCATTTTAGGTGCAGACTTCGAGCAGAGTTGTATCAGCATGAAGAATATCCCATTCGAACTTCTACTTAAGTCAAGAATGAGAGACAGATGTAGAAAGGTAATCCACAAGCTTAAACATAAGAAGACCTAATGGAAAATCAATATAACTTTTGGGAATTCTGATTATAATTGATATAAATCGTCTTTCATGCTATAATAAGAGAAAAGGGTGTCGGATTCATATAAACTTAATGATAGAATAAATATTTGTTCATCTGTATTTTTAGAACGAAAGAAAATGTATGAAAATGTAAAGTCTGAACTTTCCTAAACGATTTCTAGAAAACCAACTTGAAAAATCATCCATCCCATCCAGATAAAAATCGAACCAAAACTGAAATCAGATATAATATTGTAGATCCTCATAAAATTTGATTTGTTCGTTTGTTGAAATAAATAATTAAAACTGAATTAATCTTAACTAAATAGAAGTCATCGTTAAAATCGTAATGAATTTAATTTAATTTTTATATTTTATAGATAATTTGTTACGTTCAAAAGAAAAGCCTAATAAGAGATAATATTTAGTTAACTAACACTTTAAAGAACTTTTGACAATTGTAATAAATCCTTTTTAGTGAACAAATTTTTATTATCTAAATATAAAACGTATATTATATATAACTAAATTAATTTCTAACAGTTGAAAGTGTTGTACTCTAAATTAAAAATATTAGATAGACATATTCGAGATAAACTAAAGCTTTTATCACTAAACTAACAAATTCAAGATAAAAATTGTTTACGATGTGCACCGATCGAAATATTTCAACTCTAGAATTTTAGCAGATTTTTTTCCCGTTTTACGTCTTGGTTCCACAGAGCTCGTTTATTAAGTTACACAAGAAAAACAATTTTTTTGTGCGCCAAAATTTAGGGTTAAATTGCCCTTAGATTTGAAATGAATAATATATTGAATTTTTTCTCAAAATTTCTTTTCATATTTGAAAGATTCTTTCTCTTATGTAATTCGACGAGTTTTCTCCAACGATGATGTAAAATAAAAAATAAATCCTATTGATAATCTGAATTGTGACTACACTCAACGCATCATAAACATCTTAAAAGTTGAATTTCTAAGTCGGTGTATATCATTGGTAGCTCATATTTTAAATTTGATAGTTTGCTGATGAAAACTTTAGTTTGTCCTGAATATATCTATGGTTTTTTGATCACTTAAATGATTCTGTTTTATGAAAAATAAGTTTGTAAACTTGTTTAAAAATGAATGGTTGCTTATTGAAAGAATAAATATTTCAAAACAGTATAAAACCATCATTATGATGGTTTTTAGCAGAAGATTTTAATAGATTCGTTCGAAATAACAAAGAAACAAAAAAAAAGGAAAAAATTTAATTTTCATCATCTTGTTCAATAATTTCTTCATCATTTTCTTCTGCTTGTTGATCATGATCTTGTACTTCATCATCTTCATCATGTAAATCAAATATTTGAAGTTGTTCATTTTGTTTATTCCAATGAACTTTAACTTTTATTTTAAATTGTGCTAAAGGACGTTGAAATAATTTTAATAATTTCGCTTGTTCAGGTGTTAAAACATCACCTTTTGAACAAATAGTAAATGGTTTAAGTAAATGAATAATACCTTTTTTTAATGTTGTCATTAAACCTAAAGATCTTAATAAAGGTTCCATTGTATGTTGAAAACCATCTAATGATCCTTCATCAATAGTAACAGTTTGTTTAACATGATTTCCTGCTCTTGCATAATCTTCCATTTCTAATTGATTAAAATATTCTAAAACTTCTTGTGGTGATCGATTTGTTAACATTAAACCAACTTTTCCAACAAGATAAGGAGATATTTTAGATAATGATGGTAAATATTCAGTTGCTGGTGTTCGTCCTAAAGCAAGTTGCATAACACGATTTTTTCCAAATAAAAAATATGAAGATTCAGATGGTGGAAAATGTGCACGAACTATTTGTAATTTTTCTGTACGTTCATTATAAAGACGAACAACAAATAAATGTGAACATTGATCAAGACGTGAACGAATTTTTTTAACTAATTCTTGTTTTAATTCAAGACCACGATTTGTTTTTAATTTTTTTGATGATTTTGATATTGTTACGCGTTGTGATCGTTTAGACTTAGGCATTGATGATGATCTAAAAAATACAAAAGTTTTGATTTAATAAAAGAAAATTACGAAAATAAAACGAATAATGTGATCTTCTATCGAATAGAACAAGAAAAAAAACAAACCTCTATACAGATCATAAAGCTTTTATTGGTTGAATTTATTTATCCAATGATATCCTAAAGATCATTTTACTTTGCCAAAAACAGATTCTTTTATCTGAATACCAATAACAAAAATCATTGTTAGTATCGATTTCATCTAGATCTGATTAAATTTGAAGAAGGATACAATAATACTCAATATCATAGATCGCGCTACATTGATTTTATTTATTTTTTTACTCTATACAAACATATTACAAAATGAAGCACATATGCTGTTTAAAACTCACTGAAAGATAGTCTCGGTTGATCTTGTTCAATTGAAGTTGTCAAACTACTCTTTGTATCTTCGTTGAGATCTAAGTGAAAAGTCTTTAGGAAAAAAATTGAATGAATTTTATTCTACTGATTTAGAGAACTTTAGAAATCACATAAATGTTCAGAACAACAAGAGAAAACCTGAAATAGCCATATTCTATAATATGCTAGCACAACAAAATCAATACAACATGGTAGAGAAGGTTCAAATTAGCCGAAAGGTTAATCATCTGGTTTCCTGATAGCTTTTAATTGGAGATTTTATCACGAAATACTAATATCTTGGCTAGTGTACATTAAAAATAACTAAAATTTGACTCCTCATCTAAAACAATATGCACTAGAAGATGGAATGAATTTAAGGCGAATATAAAATTTTTATTCGACATCACACTTTAGTGATAAGTCGTAACTAATGTGTAATCACTCTCTCAAACATATTCTTGGTTTTAGTCTCACTTTGATTGATGTTCCTAATATACTAATGGAATGTGATGATGTACTTTAACTGTATATCTACTCAACATGAAATAGTAGTTCATTTAAGTTTTATTGATATTTAAATAAATATTTTTACCTTTATGGAATGACAATGAAATATAAATTTAGTTGTTTTTATCAATACTCAATATTTCTAATCAAAATGTAAAATAAAACTTTCTTTTAACGTTGTTTTCATTAAGATATGTATAATCTTTCATATGGGATACAAACTTAATTAAATAATATATGGAAAAGAAAGAAAACAAATACTTCATAGATAATAAATAAAATCGAACATAATCAAAAAGAAAACAAAAAAACAACAAAGTATTAGACGACTCGAAAAACATTAAAAAATTCAATAATGTCTAAAAACCGTTTTGTTACTTCTTCTACAAAGTGTAAATTAGGATATATTTTCTAGATTTCACTTTAGATTAGTATACTCACATATGTGGAGAGTATTGATTAAATATCTATCGAGCCAAGAAAAACTAATTTATTCTAAAAAGGTATTAACGTGACAAAAATAGAAGTTGTACTAGAAAAGATAATGAGACAAATAGAAATGTAAGCTGAACCGATACTGATGACCGCAAAGGTTCTAGCGATTCAGTCGTTTAATCGCTGTTCTCGTAAACAGTTGCTAAAATTTCGGGCCGTCATTAACGGAACATAAAAGTAGATTATAGATTGTTGAAAATTTTCGACACGTGTCATCAGTTTTCAAGGATGTTCTTTTCTAGTTTCTTATCATAATGTTTTCTACCATAAGATTCTTCCTTTTCGAATTTGAAAATATATCTGATGATTATTTACGTCGATATGAAAATAATGAAGATAAAAATAATTTATTAACAAATTTATTTAATGGTGATAATGGAAATAATATAGGAGAATTAATTGTTAAATCTGTTTTATTATCAATATCAATATGGTTCAAATGAAGGTGTTAAACGTTTTTCACGTTTATTAAAATTATTGATTTATATCCAAAAACAATGGATTTAATTGATGATAAATTACAAAAAATTCCTTGTTGGATATTTTTTGATTGTTTATATAAAATAATTGCATATTTAGATAAACCAATTGCGTAAGTTACTTATCATTTTACTCAAAGATTACTTTCCCAAAAACAAAAAAAAAAAAAAGTCAAGTCTAATGAGAAATCATCCTATGCAATTTAAAGCTTTTTAGTTGATATTTCATTCATAAATAGAATTCCGTACGACTAGAAAAAAAAACCTAAAGGGGTTTGTTCCCATGAATCGTTCGGAGGCAAGTTATAATCGTTTCACTGATAGATAGATCTAATGATTCTTAAACTATAAAACTTAAACATATTGAATAATACATTCAACAAAAACTATCATTATTATAAATTTTAATTAACAAAATTTAAAATAAAATATTTCAATTAAATTAATTTTTGTATTCAAATCTATTGTTTTTTTTTTTCAAAGGCTTAAATTATATCCAGTAATTTAAACGAATTGTAAAACTTTATCCACAATCAATAGTTCATCCATTTAAATTAAGTTAATAAACATTACAATATTCAATTCAAGATCCAATATTAAAACATAATCTTGAATTAATTCAACAACAATTAAATCGTTATATACTAGTTGTTAATGAATTTATTGAAGCATTAAATCAATTAAATCCTCAACAACAATTTGATATATGGTCAAAAGAATTATTTCATTTATTAACGAATGATGTAAATACAAAAGATATTGATAAACTTAAAGAACATTTAATTAAATTAAAAAATATACTTTTTTCTTTCTAATATAATTAATCTTGATGAAACTAATGATGAACAATCAATGTTATCAAATACACAAAATAATAATAATGATATAGATAATACATTATTAAAACCTAAAATAACATCAATAAGAATATTATTTAAAAATACTTGTGAAAAAGAATTCAATGATTTATTTGGTAAAAATGGTGAATTATTATCAACAATATCATTAGGTGATACACGTTTAATATTAGGTAATGTATTATTAAAATTAAAAAATATTATACAAGATAAAACAAATATAAATGATTATTCAACATGATTTTCATCAACATTTCGACAAGAAAATCGTCTATTAGATAAATCATCTATACATGAATTAGAAATACCTGAACAATATACAAGTAAAAAAAAACCATTAATTGAACATCATATTAAAATAGTTGGTTTTGATGAAAAACTTTTGGTACTTGATTCATTACGTTTACCAAAACGTATAACAATACGTGGACATGATGAAAATAATTATAGATTTTTAGTTAAAGCTGGTGAAGATATACGACAAGATCAACGTATTGAACCTTTATTTTCAATTATGAATGCTCTTTATGATAATGATCCAAATTATAATCAATCAAATTCAGCTCATATTGCTCTACGAACTTATAAAGGTAATTAATCTTAAGAATTGTTTTCATTTAGTGACGATCGTATGTCGCCCATAGGATAATCTGATATTTTCTATCTTTATTTCCTCTCTACTAAATCAGTTAGTCATATTTGATAAAAAAATTTCTGCTTCTTTTATTTTTTTTTCTTTTACATAACTATTTTTTACAATTCATGTCTTTATTCCATTTTCAAATTAGTAATCATGATCATTTAAATTAACGACGAATTATATGTTGTTTGATTGCATTGAAGAGGAGACCTGCAATACGATAAGTAATTCGTCCAAGTTCAACAAAATACTTCATGGCTTTTAACAACTCGACTTGTAATGAGACCATTAGTCCAAGATCTAAAGTCACAAAATTTTTATTATTTAGTGTTTAACTTTGCACAAAAATCTGTGTAAATTCATTTGCATTATTAACAGTCTCTGGAATACCTGTTGGATTGACATTTCCATTTCCGAGATCATTGTTTAACAAAAAATTGTCGTCAATCTCGGGATGAACAATATAAACCTAAAAAAAAGTTCGTCATCACATATCATGGAATCAAGAAATATAAAAAGACGAAACACAGATGAAATATAGACGAGGAAATCCACTTACTACTTTAATTTCTGGTGAAGGTAATTGTCTACACATTTTGAACTCAGTTTGAAAATTTTAATAGATAGAAAATTTCTATATAGGAGCACTATTTCTTTCTTTATATAATATTTGCCTCATCAAGATAATTTATCCGAACAAGAAAAAAAAATGCTCATTCGTGAACAGCGGACGACCATTCTTCAATGATGACCTTTTCAACTGTTCAATAAAATAGAACACAACAAAAAGAAAAAGATGAAACATTTTTCTTATTTCTATGCAATTAGAACTGTTATATCTGACTCAATTTTTTCTTCTTTTCAAAATAAAATATATCAGTCAAAGTTCATTGAAACTTACTCTTCTCTGTCTTATCATTATTAGAATTTCTCCATCTAATGCTTGTTCAGGTGCTATTTCATGTCGTGGTGATGTTATTCGTTGAAGCTGTGTTTGTACAGGCCGCATTTGCACATACTGTATGTGTGAAGAAGGAACGGGACCAGGTTGTACTTGTGTAGAAGAAACTTGATCAGATTGTACTTGTGTAGAAGGAACTTGATCAGATTGTACTTGTACATCTGGATCACCGAGATTGTCGACCATTCTTTGCAATTCCATCAATGGATTATACATTCTAAAATTACAAAAATAGCAAAATAGTTTCTAGTCAAGTGTAGAAGTGAATGCACGTTTATTCATGCATCAGCTTGGCTAAATACATTTTCAATAAAAAAATCCATATAGCCAAGCATATATATAGTCTAATGCGCATATAACCCTGGAATAATGTGACCACTAGTTATGTACGAATATACGTATGCACTGGTGTTCGTATTTCTCTACGATACAGAAAGAAATAGTAGAAAGCAAGGTGAATTTTTTTTTCTTTCCTATACCATCACTGTAGTGATGAGCATCCAGGGCATAAAATGATATTAAGATACGCACTATTACTATTCTAATCGATAAAATTCTACACGAACATTGAATAATTCACATTAATACTGTAATTGAACTTTCACAAGAACTAGTAACATGTGTATATCTGCTCAACGTTTGATAATCATTTTATTTCCTCTTAATGTCAAGTATTAAAGAGCATAGAGTATTTTCGTCACTCTAAGATCTTGAATCGAAAAATTCTTTGGAAATGCAATAGTCATCTTAGATTCATAACTAATAAAATCTACTGTTGAATTGCTATCACTATCTGCAACACTTTTTGCTACTTAATTTTTGTATATCTATGAATAATGGTTGAGAACATAAAACTGTTTGTATAATATAAATAAGATGATTAAAATCTAGATGCCATCAAGGTGACAGGTATATTATTTGATGTTTCAGGAGAATACGATAAGAAAACATCATATGAAGTATTACAAGCACTCTTTTGCTGTCTTTATCAAGATAGAAGAATTATATATACATGATATGTTTGCCAATAAATGAACTAATAATTACATTTGAATGAGACACTATTGTGTGTGATATATTCATCTTCTTTTATTTTATCTATGATAAGTTCACATCAATCTCAATTTCTATCTTTGAGAAAAGCCCAAACACAAAATAAATATCTTCATTTTAAAGATTTTTCTTCTTTTTTTGCTGCAGCGTTTCGATCAAAGAGAAGACGAAACGATAAAAAAAAAGTAATGGTTTTTTTTAATTACTTCATCTTGATTTGTTCTTGCATATCGACCACTTAAATCATATAATCATGTTTGAAGACTATTTAATTTCTCGTAAATTAACAAAAAAAAAATATTATTCGAATTAGCTATATTCTTATCTATTGTGGGCAAGTTATGCACAAACACATGTAGCTCTTCATTCATAAACAAATATTTTTCTATCTGAGGAGGTTTATTCATAATATCAAAAATTTTCATTCTGTAAATAGATTTTTGTTCATTAAGAGACGCAGCTCTAAAAGACAATCTTATTTTCTAAATTAATCTGAATTTTAACATACTTTCGTTTTAGTACAACTGTTGATTGATTCTACAATAAAATGTTATCTTTATATAAAATAAATCTTTTATAATATTTATCTTAACAGATAATCGTTTTTCTTTTAATGCTTTTAATAATTCAAATGCTTCTCCATGACAAACATCAATTGGTATCTATCCTTAAATCATCATCAGCAAAAATTTATTAAAAAGCTCTTCTTTTTATCGCATAATTTTCTTGCATATAAATCTGCATTTCTTTCAATAAGATAAATGAATAACATCATGTTTGTCCTATTGTGCAGCAGCATATAGAGAAGTCAATTATTCATTATCTTCACAATTAATATCAGCATTTTTATTGAAAGCAAATATTCTAAATTATTATCAATTGATGCTTGATGAAGTGCTGTTAAATGTTTTTTTTTATCGATAATAAATGATCATTTTCGTTAAAATATATTTTGTTAGATAAAAAGAACTTATTGATGTTTTGACTTGAAGAACGAAATGATTTAATAGGTTTGAAAAACTTTGACCCGACGATTGAATATTTTTCTGAAAGAATCGATCAACTTTTAATATCATTCAATCGAGTAAGATTATGAGACTTTTTTTTTGAAAAGATTGAATATTGTTTTTTTTCTTATTGACTTGACATTGAATGCATCATTAGTTACGATATCGAAAACAAAAAAGTTCTTATTTTTTTATTTGTAAAAATCTATTGAAAATTTTCATAGACAGTTTTAAGAATGAGTGCACAAGTCAATTTCTATCATATAGATAGATAAGGACTCGAAATACGCTAATGTCTAGAATATATTCAAGCTAAGTACTCGACTACAAACAGATCAAGTGCATAAAATATTTCTCATCGTCATATCGATAAATAATGATTAATGAAGAAATCGATTTATCTGAAATTTAAAACTGTCAAATACAGGACATTGTATCTAATTGTTACATTCAAAATTTGGACCAGAAGTCATCGAAGAATCTTTAATTTCGAATAATTTTTGATAGGATCAAGATAAAAAGTCAATTCAAACTATTCTACATAATGCATTGTCTTTTTTCTTATCGATTCATAATGTTACTAAATATCATGAGTAAAAATCTGAAGATGATTTGATAAACTTGTCATCCATATATAAACGTAGAATAGTAAATATCCATTTGTTAATTGAAATATTTAAAAAAAACAAAATTTGTTAACAGTACATTGATTATAATTACAATTTGTTTTTTTTTCTAATCTAAAAATTCATAACATATAAATTTTAAAAAACAACCAGTTTAATTATGTTTATATCCTAATCCATCATTTACGAATTTAAAACATAAAAAGATTATTTTTAGCCCTTAAGAGGGCTGTTTGGGTAATTGTGTTTTTTTTTGTCTTTTGCTTTTGATATCACTTAATTTATGATCCAAAACCATATAAAGTACGTCCTTGTCGTTTAAGTGAATAAACAACATCCATAGCTGTAACAGTTTTTCGTTTAGCATGTTCAGTGTATGTAACAGCATCACGAATAACATTTTCTAAGAAAAATTTTAATACACCACGTACTTCTTCATAAATAAGACCACTAATACGTTTAACACCACCACGCCGAGCTAAACGACGAATAGCTGGTTTTGTTATACCTTGAATATTATCACGAAGTACTTTACGATGACGTTTAGCGCCACCTTTGCCTAAACCTTTACCACCTTTACCTCGTCCAGACATTTTATTTTATAAAATTTCTTTTCTTTATTTTAATAATGATTTATAACATTATGTATACATTCGTATTATATATGTATCATGAAAACAAAACATTCACCGGTTGGTCAGTTAAGAAACTATTGTTATAAACCAATCAGAAAAGCAAAAAGAGAGAGAGAAGAAGGAGAAACAAAAAAAAAAATCAGTTGTTCATATTATCTATAAACATACATGTATTGAAAAAAAAAATCAGCCGAAAATTTTGAGAGAATGTAAGAATCAAAAAGTTATTGGATGCAAAATGAACAAAATACCAATGTTAGAAATTGATGTAGAAAGAGATTGGAACAACAATCGTCCTTATGTTTTATTTTTTAATATTTTTTAATCATCATTGCATTCCTTTCCGATGCAATATCTATGATCCATCGCTGATTCATATTAGTTTCACACGTCTATAATCTTTTCTCTAAACAATCGAAATGTATTGCACTATTAATTATATGATATTGATTATGATATTCAACTAATTGATTTAAATAAAATAATTATTTTAAAAGAAAACTTTCTATTTAGACCTATATTTTTGTCAAGTACAATATGATCATAAAATTCTTGATTTCCTGAATAACAGTCATTAACATTGATATCTACAAAATAGTCCATGAGAAATATTTTTATATTTCGTATTTCTTAGATATTATTTTATTCAGAATATTTTCATTTCAAACAATTAAATCTCTTCTAGCCTAAATAGATAAGTTGTTGGTAGCAAATAATACACCATTGGTTCTTTAGATCCAATTTCTTTATTAAATGATGTATTTTTTATGAGAATTCCAAAATGATTCGACATTGGAATGTAAATATAGATAACGATAATACTCATACCTTCCTTTGACTTAAAAGAAATTAATTGGACACACAAATATACTAATAAAAGAGAACACATGTAAACAATCTCTTCTAGATTATAGTTGTTTTTTTTTGCAAAATAAATCCAAATAAATGATCTTTCTAATTTATTTTTGCATTTCGAACAGAACTTTTTCTTCTACTTAAATGTGTTTTTTTTTCATTTCGGGTTTGAGTATTTATCGAGCATAGGCGTCGGGCTTCCTTCTATAGCAATGTCTCTCGTTGGAATCCAAACATATAACGAATTTTCTAAAATGATTTCTTTAATTATTTAATATCTCCATATTTTCATCAATAGAAAGTAAAACTAAAAGAATTCTATTGAGGTGTAAAATCAACTGTTTATATGATTGCATGTCGTCTTTTAGTCATATTTAAATAGAGTTTGAGCTTTCACTATTTTTGACTCAGATGTGAATATTATTTTAGAGAAGATTTACTCTTAGCCATTCTCCATAAATATGATGATCTGCTATAAATCTAAAGAATATTTAGAACAGAATAATTGTTCATTTAATTAAACTCTAAAGTAATAATAATAAATTGTCAAAATTTAATAAAAAAAAAGATTTAATCTAATAGAAATTGTATAGATTATATATAATATAGTAATGTTAAATTCAAATATTCTTTATATAATAATATTTTAGAGCGTGTCTTTCAACCTGAACAATTGTTCTAATTGCCTGAATTATATATTATAAATTTGTTATAGCCATAGTTTTTCAATTTCATACTTGATTCTTGAAAGAAAGACTCAGTGATAAACAGTTGATTGTATTTTTATAATAAGATTCGATTTAATTGGATTCATTTTTAGTTACTAAGATATTTGTTTATATTAGAATAGATGGTAACGCAGACGAATATATATTAATGTTTTCTTTCATTTATTGACATAATTAAAACAGCTTAAAACTGCACAGCTTTTAATGCTCTGATGGAACCATCGGAATCCTTTCATAAATTGCATAGAGTATTCACATTTAAGATTTTTCTTTCTGTCATTCTAGATGACGGTGCATTTTTTTTTCTGCCTATTTAATAATTCGATTTCATCGGATTTAGTGCACATCGAACATGGTAATCCTCTTTATCTACGTTTTGCTTTTAGTGTTGCCATCTTCTGTTAGTGCTAGTTCAAGCATAACATTCAGTTCTGTGATTGTTACACAAGTACAAGATGCTCTTGCTCCACGGGAAAGTTCAAATGATTATGTAATAACTTCAAAGAAATCATACGAAGGATTTTTCGTAGATTCTGGTTTTACAAATAGCACGACAACACAAATAATATCAATTTATCAACAACAAATTCGATCAAATAGTAAACCACCTAAATTTGTTTTTATTACACATGGTCATCCAGATCATTTAGCTGGTTTATCTCTAATTAAAAAGATTTATCCAACAACACCTATTTATGTTACTACTGAACAAGTTGCCGGAGAGGCTCTTAAATGGATGAATTTTACTTGTACAAATGGTTTTATATCAATTGATCAATGTAATATCGATTTCAAACGTGTTTTACGTGTTCTGACATCACCACGAACACAATTGACTTTTAATGATACATCTGTAGAATTAAGTGCTCTTAATGTTTTAGTTAAAGGTGAATCATCGTATGCTGGTTTTTTGGGAATTTCAACTTCATCAAAAGATTATTTACTCTTTACAGGTGATGCAATAACTATTCGATCTCATTTATGGGTTAGTAATTTCTTTGATACAAATCAATTACCATCGAGTGATGATGCTCTTTGTGCTTGGACAGGGAACATGAAAACATCAGTCTGTGATTTACAACTTGCTGGTCGAAAAGCGACAATATTTCCTGGTCATGGTCCAATAAGTGGTCCGCTTAACTATACTAAAGATATTTCAAGAAATATCGCCTGGCTACGAACATTAAGAAATTTAACATTTAATAGTTGTAATACAACATATGTTTGGAGCCAAATGATTCGTCTATATCCAGATTTTGGTGAAAAACATCTTGCTGCGAGTGGTGGTCTAACTACACATATACCTGCAGATGCAAATAGCGTCAATTGTAATTGTATTAATGATTCTCCAACAATTTGTCCAGTATATAAAGCACCACCTACATGTCCATATTTAGATATTAATGAGAGTGATACAACACTCGCTTGTGATATACGTTATACATAAGAATATTTTTCAAATTCTAATTAATTCAACAAATTCTTTTTAGTAATATTCATTTTGAAAATGTTTGTTTTATTTTTATCCACTTGAAATGAGAAGCCAACATTAATAAAGATTCTCTAAGATTTAACTAAAGAAATTAGTTAAATCAATCAAAAGAATCATTTCAATTTTTTAAATAAAAAATCTTCTTATATTTCATTGTCATTACTTTACATAATCTTCACTCAACTGTTATTGACATCTTGCAAAATATGTGGCTAAATTTAAAAGATGAATCTACACATACATCTGAAGACGTACTGTGTAATGATCATTCTTCAACTATTAGCATCAATGAAATTCTTAAAGCTGTAAAGTACATTTTTATTTTTGTTTGCCACGTATCGAACAAATTGATCATTGAAAATAAATTATTCACCAAATAATGAGCAATTATTTACGTTAGATAAGCACAAGATCTAGAATATGACTGTGAAATGTGAGAATGACGATCTATATGTGACTACAATTGAAGAATTGAAAAACATTAACATCTATCTCTGTCTGTGAAGCGTCATTCAGGATACTCTCACATGTACAAATATATAAAATGCCGTCTTATGTTATTCTTACGATTAAGATGAGAACGTTTCTCAAAAAATGATCTAATAGATTTTTCAGGAAACTCAATAATTATAATTTGATGCAGGCTATGTAGCAGACATTGAACGCAAGTACTTTAAGTACTTTGCTGTGAGATCTCTGGTATTTGCATCTTACATTGTAGGTATGCAACCAATGGGCTCATTCGATGCGTCTTATCAAGAGCTACAGAACCGCATTACATTGTTTTTCGATTTTGGATTCATAAGCGAGAGAAAGTACTAAAACACTTAAAAAGTACTTAAGCACTTTTTCAAGTGCCCGAAAATTGTTAAATCAGTCGTTTTTCTCTTGGTGGGAAGTTCAAATTGCAAAGCAAGTTGTACTGTTTTGTAGTTCTTAACGAGATGCATCGAACGAGCCCATTGGGTGCATACCTACAACGTAAGGCAGAGTTGTAACCGGACCGGCAGACCGGCCGGCCCGGTTTGGTCCGGTAGAGGATTTCTTACCGGCCAGTAGAACCAACTTATTCTTTACTGGCCCGGTCTGATTTTTTTTTAGTTTTTCCCTATTTTTTTCACGAAAAAGTGATGAAAAAGGTGGTTTTTTCGAAAATCAAAATTTAGGTGAGATAAACGGTAGTATTGGTCATTAAAAACTGTTTTAACCGACAAAATGCCGTTTCCTGAACCACATGGGTGTTGTTCAAATAGTATCAAATTATGAATTATTTAGAATTGAAGTTTATCATAGATTTATTTGTATTTCCTTTTATTTATTGCATATAGTCTTTGCAAACACGAAAGATGACAAAGCGAGATATGAACTTTTGTGCTCACGAATAGATATTGAGAAAGAGAAAACATATGAAAGCAAATAGTAAAAAGTACTGCAGTGTGGAAATAGCACTTTTATATCATAGCTGTAGTTATTAGAAGGAATATATAGTTCATCTAGGTGTTGGTTTGAGTGTTATGGGGTCAGAAAACAGAAGAACAATTTATGCCGGTCTACCGGCCGGTCTGACCAGTCAGACCGGTATCGGTACCGGTAAGGAAAAACCCTACCGGTTACAGCTCTGACGTAAGGTGCGAATACCAGAAGTCTCACAAAAAAAGTACTTAAAGTACTTGCGTCCAATGTCTACTATGTAGTTCTTGCTTTTAGATTTTACTTTTGTTAAAGTGTAACAAAAGTCTTAAAAATTTATCTTTTTTCATTTTTGAAAAGAATGTTTTAGCATAAAACTTTAATTTGAATAAATCATATTTACTTGTATTGTCGTTATTTCATATTTTAATAGAATGATAATAGAAATTTACATAATTCTGATTTTACTAAAAATGATAATTATTGAAGTTTTTTGTTTGTAGTAGTTTAACTAATATTGATATCATGGTAAGAATAGTTTATTTAATTAATTTGACTGTATTTATTATTTTACATGTTAATCAACAATGATAAACAAAAGAAGAATAAAATACAATAAATGAAATATGGAAACAAGTTAATTAAACATACTAACTTCATTTAATATATTTTTTTTATTGAGGCAGAAAATATTGTTGATAAATAATTGATAAAGTTATAATTTCTTTTTTATTTTGTCATAAAAAAATTCGTAGAGGAACTATTTTTGTTTTTAAAACGTTACACAAATAATTAATACGAAAATGATTAGGATAATATCTGATATCTATATCCGATACAAGAGAAATCATTTTATTCTCACAACCTAACAAGAGAAATAACTAACGAAGCATAATTTTCAGCAATCAACAAGAAGAACTATAAATATCATTTTCTATGATAATATAAAGAATAAAAATATTCTAAAATAGAGAATATTTGCAAAAGAATCTGAAAGCAAAATCTTTACTAATAATCAACATTTGAATTTCGCTCAATTTAAGAACTCATTGTAAAGTTTTTCAATGGTGTTTGACAGATATATTTATACTCTAGGAAAAACAAGATTAACTGTTTAAATGATAAAGTAAAATCTTTATTTTCAAAGAATAAAAAACTTATAGTAAAATGAGGACATGATTAGTTTGATAGATGTTTATGTAAATCGTTTATCATCACACCCAAATCCAATTTTAAATAATCTTACATAAATAATAATTAGCATACCCTAGTCGAACATCTTGTAAGCAAGATCTTGAAATCTTGGGATCGATAAGCAAGATCTTAATAAGATCTTGAAAAGATAATTTGTATGTGCATATCTT